GTTTATATTTTTAAAAACAGCTAACTAGATTGATGTCATGGAGGTCTCCTCCCTTTCTTTTTCTAGTAGCTTTACAGTTTTAGGCGCTACATCTAAGTCTTTAAGACTGTTTTTACACTGCTGCATGTTGAACCCAGGGTCTCACAAACACTAGGAATGTGTCCTACGATGAGCTAGATCCTCAGGACCGAAGTCATTTTTTATTATTTATGTATGGTGTGAGGTAGGGGGTCTGATCTCATTTTCCTGTGTTGCTCCAAGACAATTCAATGAAAAGACTGAATCCTTGTCAAAAGACTGACTATAAACGTGAGGATCTTGGGGTGCTCTATTCTGCTCCACTGGTCACCCTGTTTTCAACCCAGTACCGACCTGTTCTGGTTACCATGGGTTTGTAGTATACTTTGAACTTTCTGAACTGTGCTGTCTCTAGTTTTGTTCTTTTAGCTCATGAATGCTTTCTTTTTAGGGTGGGGGGTCTTTTGTGGTTTCTTTCAGGTATTTCCCATTTTTAGCAAGTAATACTGGGACTTTAACATTCTTAAACAGCAGATCTTCTACAAGGCCATGGTTTTAGATGCTATCAGTAGGATTCCTACCAGGCTTTACCAGATCACACAGAGGTATACTGACACCTTCACAGTTGGCCTCACAGTAGGTTTTCCTTAATCTTATTAAAGCTTAAGCTCTATAACTATACCAGTTATCATATGAATTTAGAAAACTGTACAACTCTTATGTCACAAAGAGTATACAATGGATTTGATGATCAGTTTGAATCTCCTGGAAGTGGAATTTCACAACTAAAGAGAATTGTGATTTTTTTTTTTTGAAGTCAAATTTTTAAAAATATTGAAATGTAGGCAGAAGTATTTACAGTCACTGAATATACAAAATTCAATCAGGGCCTAAATCTTGAGTCCTACAGTAGGATTTTTAAAATTTTCAAGTTGTAGTTCACTGAAAAACACAGTTAACTCAGAACCTCAAGAAATAGCACAACCTTTTACGCTATGGGTGAATATGAAGAGGCCTGAAAACTAGTATTATTGTCCTGAAATACCAAGAGTGGAGAACAAAGCCCAGACCCCAGCACAGGCCTGGGACTCCTCTCAGAGGCTCTTGGGCACCACGAGCCTGCAGGAGGACAAGGCTGATGGCACCCATGGGCAACACGATACCGGAAGCAGAATCCAAAGGAAGCGACTAATAGGACAAAAGAGCACCATAGACTGCATTCCTAACAACAGGTACAGAATGACAAACATCCACACAGATGCTGCTTTCAACTTTGCAGATCCAAGTCCCCTCCCTAAGCAACAGTGAGAGCTAAACACGCCCAGAAAGCCAAAACTAATGTCTTTCATTTCCAATAGGTTTTAAAATATTTCTCTTCTACGCCTACAGGGACCACGAGGTAAATTTAGAATATTACATTTACTCTTAAATGCAGAACATATTGCAAGCCATTAAATGAAATGCTAAACAAATCATTTGTCATTCCCTATGCCATCTATCAACTTCTGCCCTACGCACACACCCCACTCGTCTACATAGCCCTTGAAAACATCGCAGCTGTTTCTGTGAAGCATGGCTGTCTCACGTTGTTAATTGCTCTTTCTTACAAGATCTCACCCAGTATGCCCTGGCTTTCTGAAATGCTCCACTATATGATTGATGGGTTACATGGTTCATTCATTAAATTTTATTCAGACTTGGGCTGGTCCAGGTCCCTTCAAGCAATTCTCTTTCCTTTGGTTTATGTCAAAATAAAAGCCCTGTGCCAGCCTTTGCTGCTGATTTTAGATACTTTCAGAAATGTCGAGATTCCAGGCAATCTCCCAGGTCTATACACTGAAGACAAGTGTTGCTGTTGCTGTTGCTGCTGCTGCTGCTGCTGCTGCTGCTGCTGCGGATTGATAAAGCTTTTTCCTAAAAGGGGCAGTGAATACACATTCTCAGGGCAGAAGCAGCCAGTGAAACACACCAGCCAGGCAAAAATCAAGCTTAGGGGACAAAACAGAAAGTAACCACCAGGTACATCTGTCAAATCAAATTAAACTTTCCCATAAAACAGGACTGCTAACATAGCTAGGAGCCACAGAGGGAGGACACCCAAAGGACTGAACCAGCATGCCGTGAGCCACATGGGCCACACAGAACCTCTCTGGGCTCCACAAGCAGCCCTGACGATGTGGCCTCCCGGTGAGGGGGTCTTGCTGTGGCTCCCACAGTGCTTGCTGTCCCAGTCATTCAGTGCCTTATTTCCCAGCCTCTTACCCACCTCACAGGCTCAGCCCCACCCCCCAAAGCAAGCAGAGCAATCAGAAGCCACAGTGCTCCATCCCCTAAAGAACACAGCAGCAGGTGCCCCCTTTTCAGACCCACAGTCCGGGAGAGGAGCTTGCTGTTCTCGCTGACACTGGCCCTTGAGCCAGGTGTGACCGCCCAGTGTCTCTGCAGACACTGTGTACCCCAGGGGACCCATGAGATCCTACCAAAGGAGTTTCTGCCTACACTGCTCTTGCCTGTCCTTGACCTCTGGCCTGCCGTGAGCTCCTCCCGTGTCAAGCTGGCACTGGACGCCATACAGCCTGGATTCAGCTGGCCTCCCGCAGCTCTCAGCAGTCCCCCCACCTCCCTGTCAAATACCACAGACCAAAGGCTGCCCCACGGGGTGGAAGAGAGGTCCTGTACACTTTCACCAGGCTGCTGCGAACACTGTCAAGTTTTCACTTCTACGCTGACTGCAGTGTAACCCACAGCTCACTTCATGTTCTGAGAAATGAATCATTTTTACTTGAAGTTTCCAACAGAGCAGTCCCTCCCATGGTGTTTGACTTCAGAGCTGTCTTAGTTTGACCATGTTAGCTGTCGCTGCATTTTCTGAAAATAGGCAGCGTGAAAATAGGGTGCATTTCTTTCCTGTTGGGGTCCACGGAGCATACAAGAAACAGGAGTAGAATGGTTCTGCAGGTACAAGAGGCCTTAGCAGCTACACACCCAGCGCTTCCCCAACACGAGACCTCAGACGAAGGCTGCGGCCTCCGCAGCTGACTGGGCAGAGAAGCACGAAGAAGCGGGAAGAGAGGAAAGAGAGGAGGCTTTTGTGATGCTGAAGACAAACTGCAGCATCCCTACTCCTGTAGTAGGAAGGCTTCTTCTTTCCTGAAAAGATGTGGCTAGATAAAAGTTGTTTTGTAAAAATAAACCTTTGTGGATAAAACAGTCTAAACACAAAATACAGCAGTACACACATGCCCTTGCAGTGAACCCATGTCCTCATTCAGCTTTAACAATCAGCTTTGTTTATATTCAATCAAAGCTAATATTGGTTCTGGGAAAAAATAAAAACCTAACACTGAGGGGCCGGGGAGATAGCTCAGTGGAATGAGTGCTTGCCTGGCAAGCGCAAGGCCCTGAGTTTGATCCCTGGTAACACACACACACACACACACACACACACACACACACACACACAAAATCTAATACTGAAAATTGATCTTGCGAGGTCTCTCCTACGCCACAAACCCTAAAAGCATGGAAATGATCAGTTACAGAGGAAGCTACAGAGGAAGACAAGGAGAGTGGCAGAGTACAGGTGGCCTGTCCCTAGGTGCTCAGCTCAATGGGGACAGAACTGCCACATCTGTGTGTGCTGTGACACAGCTATGGGGGACAAGAGTACAAAGCCCCTTGCACCCTGTCAGATTCCTGGAAGGTTCCTTCCTTTGGCATGAAAGAGAAGGAGAAAGTAAAGAAATCATTTATTGCGTGGCACAGGAGGGCTGCCAAAGAGAAGCGGTGATCCTCGGGGAGGAAGCAGCCTGGCAAAGAACTTATTGAGCAGGGTTGAGGGTGGAGTCTGCCCGGGTGCTATGGCATCCTAACAGGAGCTGACTGGGGAATGCTTAGCACAGGAAAAACAAAACAGGAAGTTCCCCATGAGCTGCAGGGAAAGACAGAAGTCAGTCTGGAAGTGGCTCGCTGCTGGTCCTCGGATCCCCATGCCACGCTGACGCACCATGACGACGGACTGCTGCATGGGCGCAGACCCATCGATCTCCGTCTCGGCGCACCCAGGCCTGCATGGGGGCCTCCTGCATCCCGGCCCAGAGTTCCGCAGGCACACGGCTTGGGACCATGTGGGCCCACCCAGGACAAGCCAGGGGAGGCCAAGCATCCGCAAACACAGTCTATTTCAGCACACAATACGGCAAACCCCAGAGCCTCTAGCAACCACTGCTTTGCGCTGAAAGGTCACTCAAAGTTTTCAGGTTAATCCCTCATCCACTACTTTCTGTATCCCCTCTGCCAAAGAACTATAAAGTAAGCAGGTGTCAATGAGGATTTATGCAACACACTGTAATAAAGTCAAACCCCAGCTACTAAGCCCCTCTTCTAGGCCTCTACAATCAACTCTCTCATCACCACTAGGTGAGAGAAATCAAACAGCAAGAGGGTAAGAAGACCAGGAACCAGCATCCTTGTACGCAGAACCCAGGCAAGGTCACACAAGACTGCAAGAGGCTGTGACCCTTTAGGAAACTGCACCAATGCAGAGGGATGGCCAATCAGTTCTGTTTTGTTTTTGGAGACTCACTCACCTAAATGTTCAGTTTCTGTAGAGCTGACTTCCCTGAGGAGATCCTGCAGTGCCTGACAAGTCTCCGGCAGCAACTCCTGGAACAATCATAAAAGCCATCAGAACCAAGGGATGCTACCAATAGCAGGTTTTGAGAAAGGAGGAAGAAACCAACACTCAGTCTACATATTTGGCCATTTCCCCCACACTAAGCACGAAAGGAAGTAACTCAGGAAACAATGAATTTCCGCCGCAACACATGGGCTGGGAATTTGCTGTACGGACGGGGAATTGAGTCCCCAAGACACTTATTTCCAAGACCAAAATTATGTTACTGTTGGCAAAGAGGCAGAACCCTTTTTCTCCCCTCCCATGCAGTGGGCAGGCTTTAATGGCTTTCAGTGTAAACGAAGGCCTAATATACATGGCCCCCTTTCGGCATTACTCCTGTGCCTAAAATAATCTCAGTCCCCCACACCCGCTCTAAATTAGTCTACATCGCTGTGTTCATCATGAGCACTTTCCCCTACTTGGCCCTGGAGCCCGGCTACCAGGCGGCCCCTTCTTGCTTTAGCAGCTGCTGAATCCTTCCCAGGGCTGAAGCTCTGGGAATTCACTATCCATCACTCATGGGAGCTCACTTGGAAAAAGGGAAGCTTTCCAGCAGAACAGCTCAGCCCCAGAGAACCAACAGGAGCCCGGGAGGGAGGACACGCAGCGAACACTGAGAATGCTCACGCAGGTAACGGCAATGTGTCGCCAAATCTGGTAGGTGCAAGGGATCAGCTGATGAGGGATATCAGTTACCTATTTTGGGTGCTGGAAAATCCATGTTTCTCCCCCTTTGGTGGGTGCAGCACTCACACCCATAATCCCAACATTGGATCACAGTTAATCACAAACTCCAGAAGTCCCCCAATGACTACCTGAGGCTTTGGGGGGACAACTAGATACAAACCATAACACCCCTCAAAATCAAATCAAAGGAGTACTAGAATATGTACCTGAATAGTTTTGTAACATGAGGATAGGAAAATTCAATTTAAATATGGCAGCAAAATCTGGATCTATAAAAGATTAAACTATTTGGCTGTCTACATATTTTTCAAAACCTGAAACTCATAAAAGGGAAAAACAGGACAATTTTTTAAAAAAACAGACATTTGTCCAGCAGAAAAAAATAAACATGAGGCATAAAAGGTTGCTGTATTTCTTTTGGAAAGATGACATAAAAGTAAATAAGGAAAGTCAACATTCCCTTCCAAATGGACAAAGCAAATTAATAATCATCCCATAAGAATCCTAAGAAATCTAATACAATGAACATATGAAATAATAACCAAAAAAATAACGTAAGGAAACTGAGATCTTATTTGTTTTCACTATCAGATTAGTAAAGACATTAACAACTGATGCCAGTTGTTACTGGCGGCTCATTTCTGTAATCACAGCCCTCAGGAGGCTGAGGCAGGAGGAGCACTCAAAGGCCAGCTGAGGCCACACGGCAAGCTCAAGGCCGTCCTGAAGTACACACTGAGACCCTAGCTCAGACAAGCGAAGCGAAGCAGACACAAAGCCTGATGATAAGCCCCCAAACCATGGACACTTTCATGGTAAAAACGTACACTGAGGTGGTTCCTAGCCTCCTGGGCAACTGGGTGGGCACACGAAGCGGTCACGCACGTCTAAGAATCCACTCCCAGGCCTACGGTGACAGCAGAAAGAGGGACATACAAGGCACAGTCTACTGCCACACGTTGGTGCTCCTCGACCGCTCTCCAACTTACTAAATTTGGTAATTGCTGTATTTTAACGCACAAATTTTGTTCCAGTCCCGGCCATCTGTTTGGTACTGGGCTGTAAAGCTAGAACATGGTGGTGTCCATTGTCTTGTGCTTCGCTCCCCTTTCCAGCCCCAACAATTGGCTCTTGTTGTTTTGGGCACTCACTGCAGCTCCCAAAACCGATGAGCAAGCAGCAAGGTTCCCCAACGATCACAAAGAGAAGGCACGGGTGTGGCTCAGTGGCAGGGCACTGCTTAGCTTGCACAAGCCCAGCTTCCGCTCCTGGCATCGCCAATGGCTTACAAAGGCTTTCTAATTAGGAAAAGAGATAAGCACCCACGAAGACGCCACCAATACATGAAACGCTAAGTAAACTACAAATGATGGGCAGAAGTGACAAAGGAATAGTAGAAATCTATTTTTTTGGTAAGATAAGATACCAATGATATACTCCTGAGTAAATAAACAAGTAAAATAAATTAGTATATGTACTAATGAGAGGGACAAACAGAAAGACACAGGAGAGAGAAGAGGGGAGAGGGGAGAGACAGACACACAGAGAGAGACACAGAGAGACAGAAAGACAGGCAGACAGACAGATTATGACATTAGTCATCAAAACTTCAGATGGGATCGGCTGGTCTAATCGCCTGTCAAGCACAAGAACCCGGGTTCAGTCCCCAGTACACATGCCATGCTGGCAACGGAACCCTGGGTGCACCGTGTCACCCACCAAAACCAAGTGTGGTGGTGCACACTGTAATCCCAGCACTGGTGAGGCTAAGACAGGAGGCCACCACGAGTCTGAACTGTGCAGCGAGACCCTGTGTCACATACATACATACGTACAACTTTCTAAAAAGAGCTTCAGATGGTTATGTATATATATATATTCAACATGAATGACTTTTCTAAAGAATATAGGAAAGCTCTGTGACTTTAAATATCATGCTCAGGAGTTAATGTACTGCATTAATTTCTATTTTGGCTCACTCTCCTCTCTCGTTTGCTAACACTGATGTCCCCCGAGTGCTCGTAACTGAGCAGTTGCTTTCCCCGCATCCAACTCTCCTTCAACCTCCACAGCCACTTCACCCTGGGCCTAAAGGCCTAAGACACCCCTGATCCTTCTTATAAAGCTCCTTTTCACAAGCTGACAGGAGTGTTACTCGTGAGCATGGGAATCCTTCCTTATCCAGGGATTCTCTTCATGTTCCAGCTCCTCAATCCTTTTTTCATTTGGAAACAAGTATAATAAAAGCCATATGAATGAAGACTTATCACACGCAATTCAACTAATGTTTTAGGACTTACAGCAAAAGCATATTGAAAGGTAGCAGTAGTAAGAAAAAAAGAAAAGAAAAAAAGCTCTTTCAAGAGACAGGTAGAGTCTGGCATGCTGGTGCAAACCTTGGATCCCAGCACTGGGAAGGCTGAGGCAGGGGGATCGCCCTCAGATCAAGGCCAGCCGGGGCTACTTAGTGAGACCCTGCCTTGAAAAAACCAAAAGAGAGGGAGGGAGGGAGGGAGGGAGGGAGACACAGACACACAGACACACAGACACACAGACAGAGACAAAGACAGATGGAGGGAGGGAAGGAGGGGGAACAGAGTCAGAGGGGTGAATCACTTGTGCTCCACAAGAGGACAGAGGACAGATCATGTAAGAACAATAACCAAGGAGATCTAGCTGTCCCAACGAGCCATGCTGTGGTTAAAATATTTTCTACTTTAATATGTGTTTAACCACTTCACAAATTTATTTTTATTGGATTAAGTTTATATATGGAAAGATATTTTTCTACTGAGATTATAAAAAACAGGAAGATACTCCCACAGTATCTCTGGAAAATCAACCTGCTCCCTCACCACCCTGATGGCGGAGGCGCCCGAGTTCCACACAGCGCAGCCCTCTCACGACGCCGCAATCGCCAAGCTGGCTAGAGGCCACGATTCCTGGTAGATGTATGCATCCCCGGGCAAGTATGGTGGACACAAAGCACAAATCCAACCCCTTCGTCTCCTCGTGGCTCCCTCTCCCCCAGGAGGAAGACAAAGGACAGAAACCAGTATCCCATTTCAGAGATTAGCAATGATGACACTCAGCCTAAGGACTCGGACAGACCCCGGAGCCGCCCAGTGCCGGGTGCAGGTCTCTCTGTCTTTGGTGCCAAGCAGGTTCACACCGGGGACTGGATGCATCAGGACCGAGGGAGGGAGAGGGGAGGCGCGTCCAACACGGAGCCTTCGCCTCTGAGTGCCTCCATCTCCTCTGGGCCGCAAAGCCAACTGAAAGGTCTGGCGGAGGGCAGGCACCCGGTAGAATCAGCCACACTCGGTGGTCCTAGGCGGAGAGCCCCGCAAGGGGAGCAACAGCGGGAAGGGCTCACCGGAACCGCGCAGCTGGCCACCTGAACACCGAGGCTCCCGGAGAACACTCAGACAGAGGCTCTGTGCCGCCACACCGATCTGTTTAAAATGCTTTTGCGCATACAAATTTTCAGTGCTGGGGATCAAACCCAGGGCTCCCTCTATACTAGGTAAGTACTGCTCTACTGAGTTCCCACCTCCAGCCCTAACGCTCTTCTCCTAAACAAGACTAAGATCCTCTCAGGTAAGTTGAAACTTTATTTATTTAGATACGGGATCTCACATTGTAGCCTAGGCTGGACTCAAACTCGCCAAGACCCTCCAGCCTCAGCCTCCTGAGTGCTGGGATAAAAGGCATGCCCCACCATGCCTGGCTAGAAACTTACTTTAAAGCACCTAGTTACGTAAGGGAACCTTGCTCCCTGGAGCCTTCTCGGGAACACCACAGGTAAATCACGTGGCCACATCCTGTGTCATCTTTTTGGAGGGACTGCATGAAGCACAGGAAGATGTGGCCAGAAGTGAGCAGAAGCTACCATCTAAATTGGCGGTCACCTGCTGCCAGCGGGATGCCAGCGCACGACTTAACTGCTTCCTACTTGCCCAGGGAATGTCCCACCTGCTCCTCAAGCCCTGAGGTTGCTCCTTACAGAAGAGAGGTGGTCACGCTTAGCTCTTCTGACATCATGGGGAGGAAAGAAGAGAGGTCAGATAGTTCTCAGTGCAACCCTGAAGCCCAAGCCAGCAGCACACACACCAGCAATCTGACAGAGACCCCCACAGATGCCTTTCACGGTAAGGGTTTTATGGGCTCCCATGCTCCACGTTTCATCTGATAGGATTCTCATGGGAATGTGGGTCCAAGCTGAAGGGCACCTGAAAAGCATGTGACACACGTGCCCAAGACCTCACCTTGGGCTACGGATCCCAAGTAGCTGAAAATA